GCAGAGATTCATTCCAATTTCTTTTCTTTTCTCTATTTTTTTTTTCAAGTGCAGCATCTGGAACTTTGGCTCTGTTTGCTGCCGGCTTTGCATTGCCACACGGCTCAGCTTTTGCTGCCCAAGCCAAGCAACTGTACTTCCCAACTGCTCTCTAATTCATTCACAAGAATGAACACTCTTGTATCAAGAATTTTGTATTCAGGTCCTGAAGGTCCCTGGGCAGGAATGATCTTCTCTCGGGTGACTGGAAAGGGCAAACAGCAGAGTTTTCCTTTCACTTCAAATAGGTTGCAAAACTGGGTCAAAATGACCAGGCCGCATGACTAAACTCCTCTCTCTGAGGCAGTTGATTTGCCAAGCCTTACTCAGTTATGCAATAAAAATGACATCTTAGGAGGGGAAACATTACAATGGCTTTTTTGTGAATGGAGACAAAGAATTGACATGCCTCCAAAAAGGGCAGCAGACACACATGAGGGACGTGGGAGGAGACCATGTGGCAGAACTCTTTCTGAACACAAACTATACTGAATTCATTACTGTTTACAATGGGAGACAAAGAAACAGCATTATATTTTTCAGGTCACATCTATTTTACATGATAAGAAAAGGAATAAAGTTAACCATCCAACTCATGTTACTTTACCACTAATTATGGCATATATTTACATCTATAAAATGGGAGAGGTTTTTGGACATGATTTAATGCCCTTTTATTGTGCAGATTCCTTTATCTCTGTTCTACATTTGAATTTCAAAAATGCTTTGGACTTCAAAGCATCTTTAAAAGAAAAAAAAAAGCAAAAGAAAACTGCTAATTACAGCATGTGTTATTTTCTAGAATACTTTTTTGCAATGCAGATTCTTGAAAACTAGGTATTCATTAAAATACTTATTGATATTAATCAATAGTTCTTCAGAGTCCTCTGTTTCACAGGCTTTCTCTGACACGTACGTTTGCATTATTCTGAAGCAGTACCACAGCAATTTAACACTGTAATAGCATAATTCTGAGTATATTTACTCAGGAATGAGATCTATTGTGTTCAGTGTGGTTTATTCCTTTGTAAACATGAATGGGTCAGCTATCTATGCCAGTTGCTAGTGAATATATAAAACTGATCAAGGTTTATGTCTTGTTCTGCTTCACTCAGTTCAAAGCATATCTCTTTTTATTTAAAATACCCCAATCTCTCATTTCTACTACTAATGGACTTACTAGGTGTGGCTCAGTGGCAGATATTGCCAATTATTATTTTGTCTTGTATCTAAAAACAATAAAGACAAAACAGAATTACAATGAGACAGAATAAAATTAAACACCCTATTAAAACCTATTGGTAAAAAGATATAACTGGCACCCAATCAAATTAAAACAAATACCCCTGCAACTGATAAACCAGCTTGAATAATAGTTTAAATATGTCAATAGTAGACAATATTCGCTGGATTAAAAACATTTGCCTCTCAATGGTAGGATATTGGAAAGACTGGAATCCTTCGTATTCTCTGAGCTTGGTTCTTTGCTTGCAGATGTTTCATTACCTAGCTAAGTAATATCATCAGTGTTTATATACACTAGCTTGCTCTGCTAGTTTTGATAGGGTGTGGTTTTCTCCTTGGTGGTTCTTGACTAGGATATTGTTTTCTGCTTGATTGTTCCTGAACATTTTTTTTATTTCAAACCATTTTATTTCTTTGTTTCAAGGAATAAAAGATACAAGGGAAGAAGAAAACAACAACAACCTACCATTCTGGGCTATTCTTATCAGTAGAAGAAATGATGGCAAATTAGAAATGCAAGAGAAAAAAAACTCACACTAACCAATTGCTCCATCCACCAAAGTAAGAATCCAACCTATGTAAGATCTTTATTCAGATAAGTACAAACACAATGCAGCCACCCAGAACACCAGAAAAAGGAAACAGACCGCCTACACAATATCTTTGAACAAAATATATACCCACAGACCACTCAACCCACATCAGCTCAACCAACACATGCCATGAAAAGGATGACACTAACATACATCAAAATATCTCAGAAGCAACTATTTATTCATATTCTGCTTTCTGTACTTTTGAATGCTTAGCAATCAGATTAGTTAAAAGGATAGCTCCTTTTATCACATGGCCACTAAATTAACAGAATAACAGAGTTGGAAGGGACCTTGGAGGTCTTCTAGTCTAACCCCTTCCTCAGGCAGGAAACCCTATACCTTTTCAGACAAATAGGTGTCCAATCTCTTCTTAAAAACCTCCAATGTTGGAGCACTCACAACATCTGGAGGTAAGTTGTTCCACTGATTAATTGTTCTAACAGTCAGGAAATTTCTCCTTAGTTCTAGTTGTTTCTCTCTTTGGTTTGTTTCCACCCGTTGCTTCTTGTCCTGCCTTCAGGTGCTTTGTAGAATAGCTTGACTCCCTCTTCTTTGTGGCAGCCCCTGAGATATTGGAATACTGCTATCATGTCACCCCCTCACCCTTCTCTTCATTAAACTAGACACCCTCAATTCCAACAACTGTTCTTTATATGTTTTAGCCTCCAGTCCCCTAATCATCTTTGTTGCTCTTCTCTATACTCTTTCTAGAGTCTCTATTTTTTTTTTTTTTTTTACATCATGGCAACCAAAACTCAATGCACTATTCCAAGTGTGGCCTTATCAAGGCATTATGAAGTGGTATTAACACTTCACATGATCTTGATTCTATCCATCTATTAATACAGCCTAGAATTATGTTGGCTTTTTTGGCAACAATGCTGGCTCATATTTAAGTGATGGTCCGCTAGGACTCCAAGATCCCCCACACAGTTATTACTAATGAACTAGGTACCACCCATACTATACTTGTGCATTTGGTTTTTCTTGCCTAAATATAGAATCTTACTTTTTTCGATATTGAATTTCATTTTGTTAGATAGCACCCAATGTTCAAGTCTATCAAGACTTGGTCAGCAAGGGCACTGTATCTGTTGTGCAGGGACACAGCGAAAGCTTTGTGTTTATGGTTCACAGCTCTCACCCTGCCAGATCCCACAATTGTCCACACTGCCCTTCTCCTGCAGCAGTGATGGTGAACCTTTTAGAGACCGAGTGCAACTGCAACCCAAAACCCACTTATGTCAGGTGTCAGGTGGCCGTAGACCATTGGGTGGGTGTGGCCATTTGAGTGGGCATGGCCCATTGGGTGGGCATGGCTGAGATGGTAATGGCAGGCTGGGTGGGACTAAAAAGTTCAATCAATTCCAACTTTGCAAGATCTTTTTTTTTCCTGCGAGAAGTTGAAATTGATTGATTGATTGAACCTTTTTTTTTTTTTTGCACACGGCGGTGGAGGCCTAAAATGAAAACATTTTATAAAACCCAGCTGAAGGCCTAGGACTGGGCCAATGGCACATATGCCCACAGAGAGGGCTCTGCCTCCCCCCTGTGGCACACGTGCCATAGGTTCGCCACCACGGTCTTGCAGGATCTTTGTGGTAGAGGGACTGATAGTGCGGAGGCTCAACAGAGTAAAATTCTGTAGCTTCTTTGTCTTTTATTTCTAAGGAAAGTTTGTTCATCTCAGCACAGTCTAATATTTTACATACAATCATTGCATTTGTTGGTATGTTCTCCCTTTTCCAACATTGCACATATGCAATGTGTGCTACAGTTATAATATGTATAATGATATATTGGAGTCATTTCTCGATTCAGTTCATACCCCCACTGGCAGTTAAAAGGAAGAAACAGCTAAGACCACACATTGCTGCTCGAAGCACGAAGCTGAAAACACCAGCCTGAAGATGACGAATGGGACTTCGTCGAAACGTCGCCAAGACACTTCCAATTTTACACGGGGGAAAACCCGAACAACCAAAGACCTACATACAAACACCCGTGAAAACCTCAGAAAAAAAATATATATATATATATATATATATATATATATATATATATATATATATATATATATATATTGTTAGTATATGTACAGAATATTCTTCTAAAAATATATTGCCAACAAATATGCTAGAAATAGCTGCAAATTGTACGTGTATTTCCTGGACCTGTTGAGATTGTGAAACTGAAAATTGCTCATACTATAATTCTGAAACAAAGACAAAAAGTAATATATGCCATTTCAGTTTTGAAATAGGATCTCGAACTACATAACTGATTTGCATCATAAGTTAACTTTTTGTAAGGACATTTGGTAAAACTTTGGTATATATTCAAAACATTTGGTAAATATATATTTAAAACATTGGTAAATATACAGCAGGGCCAAAAGTTTAAAATGTGTTAAATTAAATGGATGATATGCGGCACTGGATAATTATGATAAGACTTGAAAGTAACAAATAACATAATTATTGAATTATTGTAATAAATGATTTCAAGAACTTAATATGAGAACTCTAACATCTCTTCCTCCATTTTTCTTCCCAACCACAATATTTTGAGAGGAAAGCTGCACTAAGAAATAGTGTTTTTTTCCAAAGTAATGCAATGAGCATCATGGCTGATACTAAATATGAACCTCCCCTCCCAATTCAACATCTTAATACCCTAACCACTATACAACACTGCCTCTTTATTATGGCAGAAATCCAATCTAGACTAATATTCCGTTCTAGCTGTCCAGATGCCTCTGAAAAGTTCCCAGACAGAGCCCAAAGGTAACAGCCCCTTTCCTACTATTGGTTCTTAGAAATAGGCATTTCTTCCACTCATGATTAAAATATAGTAGTGGGCTTGTCTTCCATATGTCTGTTCTTTTAGAAACCACTTCAGCTACAGCCCTTAGCACATTGTGAGTAGCCAATCCAAGTGAAGTACCTTCTATGTCTTTTGGAATCTATTATCAGGACGGTGGGTAAGACTGAATTATTCCTTGAGAGAGAGAAAAGTGCTTCCATCAACTTTCTGTATACCAGCCAAGATTATTTTAACATTCAGAAAACACAAAACTAAAGATGCACATGGCTAAAACTTGCTTAATATCTTACTCACCCAAAATTTTACTAGGAAGAAGGCATTCTGGGGTCCTTTTCCAAACAATTCCTTCAAGCCTCCCTTCTTTTCAGGGAATTTGTCATAAATCTGACGAATGTCCACTGATTCCAGCAATGGATCGCTATAAGAGTGATTGGCATGTCCAATGTGCACAAAGAGGTGTTTGTTATACTACAAAGAAAAAAAATATATATTTATATTGTTAATATATTCATAAAAGTTAGATGTACATGGAAGATCTTTCTGTTTTAAAGGAAATAGCCAGTATACTATTACATGTGCAATGTAACAGAAATCAATCTGAGCTAGATAGCCTTTAGTTTGATATAGTATAGTTTTCATATTCCTAAGAAACTTTACTATTAAATAACCTTCATTTAATAACAGAACAGAATAGAATATTTTATTGGCCAAGGGTGATTGGACATACAAGGAATTTGTCTCCAGTGCATAAGTTCTCAGTGTACATACAAACAATAAAGCATATAATCATAAGATACCAATGGAGAAGGTAGTAGAAAAGATGAGAAGGATAATAGTAATACAGCTCTACTACATGGGTAAATATCTTTAGACATAAGACAGTGCTATGGTAATTAGGTGACACAAGGGAAAAAATCTGTCTTTGTGTCCAGTTGTTTTGGCATGAAATGCCCTATAGCAGCATCCTGAGGAGGAGAGGTGTTGAAACAATTTATGTTCAGGATGTGAGGGGGTCTGTTGATGTTTTCTCAGCTCTCTTTCTGACCCATGCAGTGCATAATGTAAATGTGTATCTATAGTCAGCATTATCATAGTTTCTTATTTCAGAATCAAGAGCAGCATTTTATGACATCTAAATTGAACTTAAACAATTATGAACTAGTTCTTTTTTTTCACCATTTGAATTTCCCCCTACCCCCCCCCAAATATTTCTTTCTTAATTGCTAAAATCACACTATCCACCAAGCACAAGTAGAAAATATTTCTATCTTCTAGATTAGAGAGCTAGAGAAAGGGTACTGTATCTCTGGTTTAAAGAACAAAATATATAGGTCAGAAAAGTAAACAAATGAGTGGGAGAAGCTAACGCACGAATGAACAAATGCATGAATGAATGAATGAATGCTTATGAGCAAAAGCTTTTGAAAGGGCAGGCTTAACTTGCATACCGATCAGTTACACAAGAATTACAGTAATTATCATCCTATTCTGTAACTCAAAGTAATTACCATACAGCAAATTCGCAAATATGGGACAATTCAGAAGCAACAAGCTTACTAAGCTCTTTAATGCTCACTTCAAAAACTCACTTTATATGTATGTAAAAGACTTATAATATGTACCAGGCTGTATCTTTTTAATAAAAATAAGTCAGTTCCAAAGTTAGGCTTCATATTCCTTGTTTCCAAACACTTATACTGAAATATCCATAGGGATGCTAGCTGGATAACTTCTCAGGCTTCTTTCTACAGTATCTTTAGAATTCTGGATTAAGATGCTACATTAAGCACACTTCAAGAATTTCAGATTAATTGGATGTTGAACCAACACAGGATTATGAAGTTGCATGCATACTGTTTAGCAGGTCTAAAAAATTGCTAGGAATTTAGTTTAACATTTTTGTTTTGGTTTATATAGAATCCCCCATGGATAAGACAGAGACTGTTTCAAAGAAAGAAGAGATTTATTCACATATTATCTGAGAATCTTTTCAGCAATCTTATTGCATTTAGATCCCACCACTCTTCTTCTATCAAAAACAATGTGGCTATAAACTATGTTAAACATATAATTTATATTGGCTTAGCATTTTATCTGAATTCCCCAATTCTCTCTCTCATCCTGAAGTTGAAACTCAAATACTTTGGCCACCTAATGAGAAGGAAGGACTCACTGGAGAAGGGCCTAATGCTGGGAAAGATTGAGGGCAATAGAAGAATGGAATGACAGAGAATGAGATAGCTGGATGGAGTCACTGAAGCAGTAGGTGTGAACTTAAATGGACTCCAGAAGATGGTAGAGGACAGGAAGACCTGAAGGAACGTTGTTCATGGGGTCGCGATGGGTCGGACACGACTTCGCAATTAACAACAACAATCTCTCTTTCTCTCTCCCTCCCTCCCTCTCCCTCTCTCTCTCTCTCTCATACACACACACATATGAAAGAATGAATTAATCAATTCATTAATGAGAAGGCTGTCTTTGGTCCTACCGATCTTCTGGTACCCGTGGAAGACAACTGTATGAATTTATAGTAATTACCAGTTGTAGACTGGTAGTGAACATTCCACACTTGGCCACCATGACTTAGCATGTCCATGTGGTCTGATACACCAAACCCAGGATTTATTGACTCAGTTGCTACCCTTAGTAGTTCTATCACTTCTAAATAGCTCCTTTAAGAGAAGAAAACCCCACAGCTATGTTACAACTATTGCATATATACTGTACACAAATGCAGATTGATATGTTAAAAATAACTTTGGGGATATTATAATCTTGAATACTTTAGTGCAGTGTAAGATTTGGAATGTAATCCCATGTACTCATACTTAATAGTAAGCACAATTGAACCATTAATCCATATGAATAGTGTCTCCAAAATATTTCAATTCCCTACTTCTTTTTTTACCTTGATGGTAGAGCTAATCTAAACAAAGGGAACTTGCAAGGTTACATAACATGAAGGACATTGTTGTGTCCATTTTGAACTGCTGCCTATACATATCCATGTCCTCTGTTCAAAATGTTTGGGGCTCTACATGCATTAAAATTTGATTAACTGTAAAACTGCAAACATAATTTAGAAGTAACCTTGGACTGGTATAGATTTGTTTTAAACATTAAATTTATGCCTTTTGATAAAGAAAGATACAAGCATACTTTGATTCTGCCATTTTGGCATAGTTTTTCCTTTAGTTTTCTTAGGCACACAGTAGCAATAGTTTTCCATAAACTTTATTTATCAATGTAAGTAAATAAAATTGTCCCATCTGGGTTTAAGTAAGCAGCAGTGGCAGCAACAAAACATCAGAAAATAATTGCCATGCTATGACATGTTTGTCTTGAAACATGTATGTTGGCAGACTCCAAAGCAGATTTTAGGTCAGAGGAATTTACACACCCCATGTCTCAGGCTGGTTGCTTCTGTTTTTAAGTCCAGGAAAATCAGTTTAGAAAAACGTAATTCAGAAACTAAAAGGATTTGTTACAGAAGGCAGTGCAATTTAAGTTGAAGACAGTTGTAAAGCTACTACAGTTGTTTGCAGATCTTTCTGAAAATACCAGATGCTGCTGTAGCAGCAGAAAAAAAAAAAAATCCAATATGTTTTAAAGCAACAGATGGTCTGGCCTCATCTGACAATATTCTTAGAACATAAATGTTTTATTTGACATTACATGAATGATTATTTTCTTCTTGCATTACTGTAAATACTATACTCTACAGAATGTCTTACTCCTTTACTTATGAAATTTTTCTAGTGAACAATAAACAGAACTTGGAGGCAACTGTCCATATACTTCAGAAATCATTGACATGGTTGAGAGGAGCCTAGAAGATCTGCATACACTAACAAGGAGAAGATATAAGCTGGGAAATTTGAAAAGGGGAATAGAGCAGCTAAATTACTCCTTACTATTTTCCTTCCAAATTGATGTTCAATAACAGAAGGTTATACCAAAAGGATTCTTTAAAGTGATGATGAGGAATTGGGAAAGAAAGCTCTATCAAACTTCTTCCTCTTTTTCCATCCTTTCTGTTAGAAATCTAGATATGCTTTTGTTCAAAATTGTCAAGGCACAGAAGGATTCCACTCGTTCTTACTTTTGACACATAAACTATAAATGGTTAGCTGAAACATGAATAGTGTTTGTTACTGGAAAAACTCCAGTTACAAACCCCTTACAACTTCCATCAAAAATATCTGGATTTTGAAAAGATCATGAATATATGTCATTCAGTCACAGTTCTTTCAATCTCAAATATTCCAGATAAAATAACATCCATTTCTAAAGAGATATTTGCCCACCATAGTGTTCACTGTTTTCAATATAACATCCTAAGCCGTTTTACTGTTGTAGCCATTGTTTAAAAGAAGGTTAAATTGTCGCACTAGGGAGCACAGAAAGTATAAAGAGGTTGACAATATACTTTCATGAATGCATAGTCTAAAGTAACCCATATAGCCTCGAGATGGCAGCTTCTTACTAAACGTTCTTATATTTGAAGAATGCGGAATAGTGGCTCTTGTGAAATAATACTAGGATAAAAACATATATAACCCATTTAGAAATTCAAAGGAAGGAAGACAAATCATTATTATCTAGTGATGCATTTGTTTTACTTACTAACATACAATTAAGAAATGGCATTGTTTTTAAAGAACTACCACAATCCAAATCCAAGAAGAGTGGGAAGCCATAAACATTACAAGCTTTTTTATTATAGTTATAAAAAAGATTATCTATTGTGTTTGTTTCAGAACGTTCTACAGAGGAAAATAGAAATGTAAGATTCATTATCGCTGTGGCCTAAATTAACCAATTCCATTGTTTCCACCAAGAAAACCTAGGTCAAAGTGTAATGTAAGAAGGCTTTTCCAACATTTTCCCCCAGTGGTATTTTAATGATTATTCCAACAATAATACCACCCCAAAGGTATTTTAGAGAACCTTCCTGGATTACAGCCAGAATAGTTTTCTGCGTATGATATATATAAACAAATAACATTCTTATTTATGGCATAAATAACTTCTTATTTATGGCACACCATCTCTGCTGAGTCTCTCTTAAATTACACAGGGAAGAAATACTTACTATTATTCTTTCCTTATGTCAATCTTATTTCTGTTCATGAACTTTTCAAGCCAACTAGTTATTTCCTTTACTCAGATTCTTTTTATTTGCAGTATGGCTGTCATCAGTAACCAAAGAAGCAATCACAGCAATACTGTGCTAAATTCAATTAATTCCACATTCTCTGACTGAAGGGAATATTGGGTTTTGACTGAAAAAGAGATGATCAGGTAATGGCCAATCACCCATACAGGTTGATCTGTTAGCTTTCTACCAACAAATACCAGAACAATGCAAACATGAGACTAGGATCTCAGTCTTTAAAACATGTATCATCATTAATTCAAAGTATTAATAGGCACACTTAACATTGATATCTTAGCTTATAAGAGATAAATCATCTTAACATAACATAGGCACGTATTATCACATTTGGTGGACATGTGGTAAGGCAAAGGCTTATTGGAGAAAGATACATATGTGGTTAGAAAAAATATTGGGTGAACAAGTGGATTTTAAGCCTGAACTTTTTTTACTAGGTATTATGCCTGAAAAGACTAATAAGCAGAAATTATATTTAATCTTACACATCACTACAGCAGCGAGAATAATTGTTGCACAATACTGGAAGAATGAAGGACTGCCATCAGAGGAAGAAATAATCGGGAAAATATTGGAGTGTGCAGAGATGGACAGATTGACTATGAGGTTGAAAGATAAAGAAGATACAGACTACTATCAAATTTGGAACTTATTTTATTCTTGGTTAGAGAAAAGAATGAAGGATTAGGAATTGAACATGTATTAGCATAGCAAATTTCAAACAACATTGATTGGAAAAATTAACATATGTTGATGAAAAAAAACCAATAAAATTTTTATTTAAAAAAAGAGATAAATTATCTTTACTTCTAATGTTAACATTTATTCAGTGTTCCAAAAAGCAGCACTAAAAAAATGAACCATTGTTTCCTTTAATATTTCTTACCATTGTGCTTTTAGTTTTTATTCATAGATTTATTGTTGTAAAAATTCCTCTTAGGCAAGGTTATAGGGGTTCATGTCTGATCTCTAATATTCTAAAAACACTCTTGATAATATCTCCTTGTACATATACTCACTGCCTCAGAGAAAACAGTTATATACGTACAAAAAGCTCAAAATACCTCTGTACGCTATTGTAATTCACAAACTTTTGAATAAAATTAAGATCAAAAATTCCATGTTTTCATGGAATCTCCTTGGGGAGGGGGGGTCTTTATAAAATGTTCAGTTGAATATGTTTTCTCTATGGGAAAACAAATTAAATAAAACAATTTTTACTCTTTTGTAATATCCCATAGAGAAGCCAATTAATACATACATACATACATACATACATACATACATACATACATACATATATATGTTTTCTGAGGTTTTCGCGGGTATTTGTATGTAGTCTTTGGTTGTTTGGGTTTTCTCCCACGTAAAATTGGAAGTGTCTTGGCGATGTTTCGACGAAGTCCCATTCGTCATCTTCAGGCTGGTGCTTTCAGCTTCGTGCTTTGAGCACATTGCTGCTCAAAGCACGAAGCTGAAAGCACCAGCCTGAAGATGACGAATGGGACTTCGTCGAAACGTCGCCAAATATATATGGTACAAATAAAATACGAACACCAGGAGAGTATAAATATAAAAATATACTTTACTAAAAGCTGCCAAGCTTTCGGCAGCTTTTAGTAAAGTATATTTTTATATTTATACTCTCCTGGTGTTCGTATTTTATTTGTACCATAGACATGCCCAGGAGTCGTATTTTTATGTAAATTTTCCAGCATATATATATATATATATATATATATATATATATATATATATATATATAATTATTATGTACAATGTCATTAAGTGAGATCTCTTAATATTGCTGTAGTTTTTTGCAAGTCTTATAGTATAAACATTCTACAGAATAATTTCTAACTTCTTAATCTCCAATTTTAAGAAATCCATATTGAGAGCAAGTCTGGCTATTGCTTCACTTACTGCAATATTGTCTACTCAAGCTGATGTTGTTTTTCTAAGATTTCTGACATAAAAAACTTGTAAGATCTTTTCTACATTTTCTCACTTGCATGATGTAAAGCTGTAAATTCATAATTCAAGAGGAAGGTGTCCTGCACGAGTCTAAAAGGCTGAAAGTCAAAAACTCTGGTCCTGGTGACCGACCCAGATTGAATCTGCATCATTGGTACGTTTTGGGTAAGTACTGAGAGATTCTACCTAAGGTTTGGGAGGACCACATCCTATCCTGGGGATCCAAAATATTAAAGCAGTGAGAGAAAAGAACAGTGCTGGCAGAAGAGAACAACAGAAATAAAAGTATGAGGAAGGAGACCCAGAGAGAACAAATATTGGTAATCAAAGCATAATATGACCACAGCATGTTATGGGGTTGTTTGTTTGTTTTTGGGTGTAGGGAATACCAATTAACAATGGATGATTTGAAAGAAAAAAGACCACCAAAAAAGAATTGATCAGATTTTTGGTGGGAGGATGGGAGTCAAGTAGATAAATCTCTTGATAAGAACAATCTGAACAATAATCAACAACAATATGACTCAGGAGAAAAGATTTGTTCAATCTGTTATGCTGATTGTGAGAAGGTGGTGAGAAACGTAAGTGAATATCAGCAGGAGATGAACAGAGGTTGAGAGATCTACACTATGATCATCCTAACAGAGATGTATTGATGAGGTTAGTCAGGAGATAATCATCAAGAATAACGGGAGACTAACAGCAGGCTACTGAGAGATCCCAGCAGGTAGAAAATGATATAAAGAGGAAAGAAGGGGGTGATTGGGAGGATTCATATGTCCTTCTAAGCTCAGATTAAACCAATCACATTAGCGAGATAATATAAAGCCAGCCACATAAAGTACGATTTATGCTCTAAGTCAGTGCTTCTCAAACGTTTTCCTTCATTACCCAAAATCACTCATCAGAAAGTTCTTATTTAAATGTCCCTATTGGGATTGATTTTTTGTGTGTGTGTGGTTTGTGTGCAGTTACACTCCCCCAAAACCCCACTTTTACCCAATTTTGGATAATTTACACAGATTTGGGAATCACTGCTCTATATATGAACTCAGCCCTAGTCATTTATTCGACAAACCAATATTCAAAGTATAGTTTAAAATACAGAGTCAACTTTGGTGAAATGGGTGGCATATACCGTAAATGCCGGCATATAAGACGACTTCTGCGAGCGCTGAAATCGACGCCAAAGATGGGGGTCGTCTTATACGCCGAGTCGTCTTATACACTGGTAGTTTCCAGTGTATAAGACAACTTTCTAGGAATGCGGCCCGGCTATAAAGACGGGGGTCGTCTTATACGCCGGGTCGCCTAATACGCCGGCATATACGGTAAGTGTAATAAATGAAAAAAAAATAAACATGTGAATACATCCATTTATTTACAGTAAATTAACAGAGAATTATGAAAATTGGTACAAAGCAGAAACATCTGATTTCCTAATAAATAGTTTAGGTGGAGTGAAAAGGTAGGTACAGACTTTAGGAGATTAAGACACAGATTTAAAACAACTGAACTAAGCAGAAAGTAAACTGAAAAGACAAGATTGACCAAGATTAGACGAATGACAGAGATGACTTTAAATGCACAAAAACATCTAATTTTTTGTGTTTGATTCCAAATTGGTCAGTTTTCTGTATTTACTTATTCTCTTCTGCAGTTTTTTTTTCATTCTAACAGTTATGTTGAAATAATTATTTTTAAATTTTAAATTAAATTAAGATGAAAGATAAGCGAAAGCCTAATGTATAATTTCACCATGTTAACATAGCTAATAAATGACCCTAAAATCACTTATAATATAATAGTTTAATGTATATCCTTAATTTTAGGTTTTGGCTGAATATTGCTAAATCTCGTAGAGATTTTTGAGCGGTGGGGCGGTTGCACTGGGTTAAATTAAATCAGCAAAAACTATAATAAGTAAGACACTATCTACAGAACTAGAACAAAAGTTATGCTGCCAGGAATTACTTGTTTTACTAACCAGTTATTGCACATTAAATGTTAATAAAAAAAGGTTCAAAAGCTGAAAAATCAAGCTCTTAAAAAACATATCTATAATACAATTCAATTACCAATAAATTCAAGTTGTTGGTCATTACCTTTAAAGCCCTTTATGGCATGGGTTCAGGATAATAACCCATGGTATAAACCCATGTCTCATCCCAATGGGACTAGCTCCAGAGGAAAAGGCCTACTTCAGATTCCATCTGCCCATAAATTTTGGTTGGCAAGATTCAAGAGAATAATATTGTGGAATATTCTACCATTGGAGGTAAGATCTGCCTCCCATACTCTTGGCCTTTTGGAAGAGCCTGAAAACTTGGCTCCATTTACTGGCCTGGGACCCCAAAAGGGGCATGACACATTGAGGGTGGCTGATAGGGTAAAGAAAAAATCCCCATCCCTCATGTCACCCATCCCCTTGGTTTTTAGCTTTCCATTTAATCCTCTTAATTTTAATCACTTTGTATTACACTTTTTAACCTTTTTATTATATTGTAAGCTGCCCGGAGTCACTACATCAGTGAGAAGGGAGGCATAAAAATTTAATACAGGTAGTCCTCAATTTACAGACGTTCATTCAGTGACCATTCAAAGTTACAATGGCACTGAAAAATGTGACTTATAACATTTTTCGCACTTACGACCGACTCAGTATCTCCACAGTCATGTGATCAAAATTCAGATGTTTGGCAACTGACATGTATTTATGACAGTTGAGGTTGACAGGGTCATGTGATCAACTTTTGCAACCTTCTGACAAGCAAAGTCAATAGGGAAGGCAGACTCACTGAATAAATGTGTTACTAACTTAACAACTGCAGTGATTCACTTAACAATTATGGCAAGAGATTGTAAAACTCACTTAACAATTGTCTTGTTTAGCACTGGAAATTTGGACTTAATTGTGGTGGTAAGTCAAGGACTACTTGTGAATGAATGAATGAATGAATGAACGAATACTTTGGAGAAGCACTTACAGAATCTGGATCTCTTTGTTGCTCTAGAAAAGCAGAAAACTCTACGAGTCTGAGTTTAGTTGTTCCAATAGATCGACCTTGCCAAGCTGGAACAGAAGGTGCTGGAGCTGACGTGGGTTCAAATCCTAAAAAAAATTGTTACAAAATTAAGAATTTATTTGTTGCTCTAGATCAGCGGTTCTCAACCTATGGGTCGCGACCCCATTTGGGGTCGATCGACCATTTTTCGGTGGTCGCCAAAGGTGGCGATCCGCCATTTTCTCCCCTCCGGGGGCGCCGCTGCGCATGCACGCCTCGCATGGGGTGGCTCCATGCATGCATGCTGCGCATGGGGCCCCGCCCCCACGCGCGCCGCACCGCGCATGCGCATAACGTTTGTGTGACGGCGTCACACAAACGTTGAGAACCGCTGCTCTAGATGGTAAATGGCTACAAGCTAAATTGTTTTCTAGCTTGCTTTTAATAGTTGTGATAAACCGAAACAGTACAGTTGTAGAATCCGTTTTAATTTTAAAGCAAACATTTAAATGTATACTACTTTACTTCCAAATTTTAATTCTTCTTTGTGAACCAATGAAACTATTAAGGATTTTGTTGCTCAGGGTCTTTATAATTCCTTCATTTGTTAACGGTAAGTTTTAAAATACTGGTACATCACATAATCATTTTTGGCAGATATATTATAGTATATTCTAGACATCCATGACCAGCCATATATGTACATATTAAGGCAAGACTGATATTTAAGATTTCTTAGAGCATTATCATCTTGGGGAGCCCATGGAAATGAGCAAGTGGGGCCTGCAACAAACAAGGGAGCAAATTCTGAAAGAATAACTAGCCCAAAATACAAAGGTAGCTACAAAGTGCAGAACAACGGTGATCAGTCCAGGAAGGCTGAGGGATGGAGTAGTCTACCCTCCTTCTCTACTGCAAGGCCAGGAGATCTGGAGTGTTTCAAAATGTAAGTGGGTTATGGCTAACAGGGGGTACAGAGGAGGCCCAAGCCTTGCAGGGTTAGGGGGGGACTAGGCCTGCGGAGACCCAGTGATGAGGGGAAAAACAAACGCATGGGGTTATGGGGACCCCAAGGGTTGGGGAACAAAACACAGGATGTCTCAGGATGTGGTGGAGGCCTTGGAGTCCCAGGCCAGGTGGGCCTTTGCTAGACCTTCCAGAGGCTCCCCTATCTGAGGCATCCCACGTTCCACATAACATCAGGGACAGCAAGTTGTGGGGTTGTTAAGCAAGGCGATCACTGTTAATGACATGTGACCATAATAGGCAGCCTCCATTATAGTCACCCAGAATCACTGTATTAGTGAGATTGGCAGTATAAAAATTTAACAGTAAATAAATAAAATAGTCGTAGGTCGAGGACTACTTTTAGCTATGATTCTATATGTAGCTATATATTGCAAATGTTACTCAAATGCAAATAAATTTCTAATACATTTATATAATTATCATGGGATTTTTTTTGTTAACCTAGTATATTTTCTATAAATGAATCCCCTATTTTGTTATATTTGTCCACACAAAGTCCACATCTATATGCAATCCGCAAGTGCAATCAAGCTTTTAATCCGCTGAGTGAAAAGAGTCATACATTTTTCTTTTCAGTGCTGCAAAATCAGTCTTTAAGCTTTGTAACGGCACAGAGTCCATTTACATTGTCCACCTATCAAATTTAACTCTTGAAAACTTTCAGACTGTTTTCTAATGGGAAACTGGTCTTTTAAGCCAGGAATCCCCAACCCCTGGGTTGTGGCCTGGTACCACGCCCAATGCATTCAGAACCGGCCCACGCAAGGGGCAGACGAGTATGCACAGCTCCACTTGCACAAGCTGCATGTGTTGCACTCTCATGTGTGAAACTCCATTTGCATGAGTGGCGGGTGTATGCACCCGCGGCTTGGCAATTGGAGCTACATGTGGGAGCGTGCTTGCCTGCTGCTGCTTGGAACCATCTCCTCCCTCATCACCACTGCCGGTCCAAAAAGACAGAAAGATTGGGGACCGCTACTTTAAGCATTCCCTGGCTGCAGGCACCACCAATTCAAACTACTGACTTTAGCCTATAAAACTCTATTGGCTATTGTAATTTTGACCTATCACCTCTCACATTAGTATGAAGATCAGTGGGTGTGGTTTGCAAGATGGTGGACAGAAAGAGCTACTAAACAGCACTTTTCTGATGGAATTAAGGTTGGCTTTCATGCTGTCTTTTAAAGATCAATTGAAGGCACATTTGTTTACTCAGACATTTATTTGCAAGATGACAACTGTCCCAAGATTATGCTGCCTATTCAGCTGTCTTTGAACTGAGCTGCATTTTTCATGCTGGTACTCCAATCGGGCTATTCTATTATTGTATGAGAGCTTGTTTTATAATAACTAGGTTCTTTTGAATGGTTTCTAAAAGTTCCTTTGGGAGGAAGAGTGGAATGAAATAAATGCATGGAATAAAATTTAAAAATTAAGAAGAACAGCAATTGTTTACGAGTCAACTTGACACTGCAATTTGATTTCACTATTTTTGTTGTTGTTATTGCCAACAAGGACAGTTTGAACGATTCTAGCTGAGTTGCTCCTTCATTAATGCTTCCACTGTGCAGAATTTTGGAATACACATCAAGCTACCGCTGTGCTCAGAAGTGGGAGCAATTGTTAACCAAGCCCCATGCATATTCTATAACTACTGATGAATGTGCAAATAATTATGTACACAAGTTCACATACATATAGATTCATTATTGTTAAACTAAATAAAGAGGCTACCAAATTTTCCTACGTATTTTGATACATGTTTAACAACCACAACCTGTGCCGAGTGTTAAATATGGGCTGAGTTCCATCTACCCTGACCCGCATAAAACAAATTAATAAATGTTACCTGAAATGGGAGTTGTGACTGTGGGCTGTATAGGATAGGCCTGCTGAACGAATGGCTTTATGCTGAAACAAACCAATAGACAATGAAATCACACACAATTACTTAGAATAATTATTAATAAAAATAAGTATATTTCATCTCATTGTAATTCAGTCCAGTGCAGCAATATTTATTGTAGATATTCTTTTACATTGAAAATAGAAACTTAGTAAATGCGTTTACTAAACTATTGACTAAAAAAAAGAGGTCGGGCAAATTCTGTTAAGGAGCATTTGATATAAGTTTTAACTCAGCTGCACGCTAACCACAAATAGAGCTTATGGATCCTTACTGGGAAACATGGTTATCATCTGCATCACAGATCTGCCATTGTTCCTGCCTTTTTATGGGTAACATATGGACCCAGTTTTAACTCTGGGAGATTTAAGGTGGCAGGATTCCTTCTTTCTTGCACAATAAACAAGGGCCATGCACAAGCTTCATAGGAGTGCTTTGCTATGACAGCAAAGCAATTCATTATTCCCGTGTTACCTTTAACTGCAAAGTGGACTGGCCACACTATCTCACTCTGAGGGTTCCTCTGGCAGATCCCAGTAAGGGAGTGAAGAAGCTTCTCCATTGTGCATGTACGGAAGTCTCTTTCAGCTACAGTTAAGTAGTAAAAGAGGCTTAGAGCAGAGGTTACCAACCTTTGTCGGTTGGTGGGCTGGAGGAAAGGGAGGGGGAAGCATTTTACATGCATGTGTGTGCATGAGCATGGGGCTGCGAGCACACGCGTGCCACAAATGGGGCAGGGCTAGCACCCACGTGATACTCACTAATCCTGCCCCATTCTTGCATGGCGCCTTGTTTCTGTGCCCTGTGGTGCGGTGGCGGCCTGTTTCTGCACATTGCAGTGTGGCGCCAGCCTGTTTTTGTGTCCTGCAGCACAACAGTGGCCCATTTCCATGCCCTGTGGCATGGCAATGTCCGTTTTTGCACCTTGCAGCATGGCGGCAGCATCCTGTTTTCATGCCTTGAGGCAGAGAGGTGGCCGCAGTGCTAGCACAAGTGAAGAGGTGTGCGTGCACATGCACGTACACTGGCCAGCCTGTCCCACGGCCCGGTGACCAGCAGGCCATGGCCCACTACCTGGCTGTGGCCCACAGGTTAGGGACCCCTGGCCTAAAGCAATGCACAACCTCTCCCAATGCACCTTTTTGTTTTGAGGAGAAGGAATTGCATTGCCTCTGGTCTGCAAAGTGACTTGCCAAGGCATACACAAACTATCTCCTTTGGGCCTACTAAAGAGAGATTTCCCTACTTAAATTTCAACCCATTTTAAGTAGTTCAGATAAGTAGAAATAGTTTTTATTGTATATAATATTGAGGTTTCAATTTGGAGAGAGGAATTGCTCGGGCATTTCCCCCAGACCGCATCCGGAGTGAGAGGATAGAAGAAGGTGAGAAGTAAGTAGGAAGGTGGAGGAGAGGGGGTGAGTGAGAAAGAGAAAGAAGAGGGAAAGAGGCAAGTTGGTTAGAGGGTGGATGCGGTTTGGGGGAAACGGATGAGCAATACCGAAAATAGTGTGTATTAATTTGTTTTATTTTTTATCTGAAGTATTTTTAAGAATGTAATGTATTGTAAAATTGAAAATATTTTTTTTACAAAAAAAAAGAGAGAGATTTCCCTCACCCATCCCCTCAGCTGCTCAAGTTACTTTAATTAGGGTGCCAAGTTCACTACTGTGACTCATTAGTCAAACACATGCACAAAGTCAAATTACTCAAAGCATAAACCAGAAATACTCATATCTTTTTAGTAATTGATTAGGTGATTTCAAAGACCAATCATAAATTCCCTTTGCCCAGTGCCATCATAACTTTGAATGGTCATTGAACAAGTGGTTGTAACTTGAGTAAGGTAGAAATGTTTGGGACATTTTCTAAATTTCAGGAATTACTATTTTTACAGAAAAGTTTGATCATGCAAATACTATATACCAGTTGTTACTTTCTTCATTTATTGAGAAAGGGACTAAATTCTATTGGACCAGTAAGCATCATTTCCAATAACAGGTAGTCCTTGTTTAGAGACCTCAGTTGACACTCGATCGTTCAGTAAAATAGTCATTAAATAAAACTGTGACTGTAATTACGATCTTACTTCAGCTTTCCTTTGCTTTACAGACTAGTGAAGATTGTATATACAAGAATTGATCACTAAGTTACTTTTTCCACCACTGTTGTAAGTGCAAACAGTCACTAAATGAGGCAATTGCTACCTGAAAGTGCAATCAGGCAAATATTCCATACTATAACACATGTAAACATACATACAAAACCAGAGATGCTGGTTTCTTGATTTCCTACTTACTCCTGAGAAGATCCGGGCTGTCCTGTTTGTAGCATCCCAGGCCAAAACTAGATTGGGGCAAAAGGAAAGAGAAAAATGAAACACAGAGATTTACAGAATAAAAGTTGCTTTCATTAAAGCACATTTTTAAGCCAAAAGATTTATAATGGAAAAGGGGAAGAACCTTTTATGGATAAGTTAACTGATTTTAGGCATATCCTGTCAATCACTTTTGGGTGAAAATATATTTTTATTTTAGCCAATTAACTTACTCCAGGTGCTCCAGGGAACGTCGGACGGGGAATTCCTGGCAAACCCAACTTATTGTGAATCGCTGTTGCAGACACAATTTGAGCGGAGGACATGGCTGCCATGTGCTGGAGTGCTTTGTCCTTTGCAGTCTGATCCTTTAACATGACAATTACAGGCAATCATTAATACTCCAGACCCAACAAAGCACACTGAGCAAGCACAGTTAGAAAGCATATGTGCTAAAATTAAACGGCACAGGAAATGTGAAAAATACAGAGCATACCATGCAGAAAAATGTAGCTGGGGGGGGGTGGGGGGAATAAAATACATTCCAACTGCATCAGGGCAAAGTTCTTTGCTCAATATTATTATGTTTAATTCTAAAAAAGATTCTCTACTGAAAAAAAAGTAGGAAGTTGACTGAATGAGAATTGAAAACTGGGATGGTACCACAACAAATTAGGAAAGATGCTTTGCTGAGCCGAAAATGAAACTCTGAAACAGCAATAAACTCCCATTGCTAGTTGAGAATAAAGTCTTGGTGTAAATATGTACATCTGTAAAATCTAAAATAAATGCAAATCCTTTGCACATCATCTAACTTCTTTACTCTCAGGAAGCCTAAAAGTCATTTTAAAGGCTGCTGTGATTTGTACTGCAAGGAGAAATAGAGCAGCACTACAATGCATGGCAGGAGTTTACAAGAATTAGAGGAAGTCTTATCTTAAGTGGTTGAAAATGTAGCACAGAATTCAATGAATCCAGCCATAGTTAAGTCCCTATTTCTTTAAAGAATATACAATATACATATGCACTGAATATCTTCCTAAGGAACAAGGTTTAAATCAGGGGTGCCAAACTGCCGGCCCGCGGGCTGGATGCATCATAGCGAAACCGCGCCCACCCGACTGCCGGCAATGGCAAAAAAGTCACAATACGTCGCAACATATCACGTGATGTTTGACACCCCTGGTTTAAATACTTAGAGTGGATTCTACCTTAAAAGTTGATCTATACAGGAAGAATCATAGAATAAATATCCAGACACTGGGAAACATTTTATTCCAAACATCATTCAATTAAAATTATTTATTTTACTTATTTTTTTTATCCCATCTTTGTTATTTTTACAAATAACTCAAAAGTGGAAACATATCCAACACACCTTCTTGCTCTTATTTTCTCCACAACAACAACCCTGTGAGGTGGATTGGGCTGAGAGAGAGAGGGGGGGGGGAGATTGGCCCAAGACCACCCAGCTAGCTTTCAAGGCTAAGGAAGGACTTGGAACTCACAGTCTCCTGTTTTCTAGCTTATTGTCTTTGCCACTAGGCCAAACTGGCTCTAGTAATGAAGGACGTCTAGAAATAGAGAGATATGACTCGATTCCTTCAGGACTATACTGCAATTGTGGGCAACTAGAGCAAGAATCAGGCCCTGAGAACATTGTAGCAAATTATAACGTAGTTGGTTTAGCTTTGGATAAAAAATCTGAATGAATAAAGCGTGGTTTATTTTAGGATAATAAATTATAGACTTAAATAAGAGTTTGTTATTGGCTTACTGACTCCAATTCTATCTCAAGCACTATGTGCAAACAGGGATACATGATTTGTGGGATTCTGTCTTACTCTGGGTTTATCCCTTGCCTAATCCTCTAATCAATCCAGAGGATGCAAGAAAAGAACAGCTAAAAAGAGAAGAAACAAGCTAGGAATTAGCTAATGAAGCCACAATTATTTTGCTGGTTTGTTTCCAGTTTGCTTAATAATGAATTTATGAACACAGCCACTTGTTGTCTCTTACTTCCTAACCGTCCTAAGATATAAGACTTGCCTTGTTAATCACACAAAGGCAATCACTTATATTCTCATAGGTGCCCACTCTTGAATCATAGAACTTCACTAGCCCAAGTTCCAGCTTTGGATCAAGAGGTCTGGATTCTGGCTTAACAGTCTCTAACATTTAGTCAGTGGTTGCACAGCAAGAATTGCTAGTTTTAACATTTTCGTTCCTATGTCAGAAAGACAGAATAACTGTTTTAAAAGGGAATGTCATTGCTAAACAAATGCATGCAACTTCTGTGTAGGACTGGAATAATGCCAGCATGGCTGATCCCTATACTGCATTATATACAAGCCCACATAGGAATCGGCACATCTGAAGAGTAACATATCAAGTTATGGGATTATGCATCAAGGTAAAAACTAAGAACCATTTATGAATTATAATTCTACATATGGACTAACACTGCATTTGAATTTTATGTTTCTCTTAAGACTTTTAATATCTACATTGTTGTTTGATTTGTTAAATAAGGACAGGATTCTTGAATTAGACAGAATTTTTTATTAATTCATTGTTCTGACTCATTGAAATTAAAGTGATTATTATTGACTAATAGTTAGATTTTAGAAAACTTCTAAAGGGTTAAACACAATGTTTTAACAGGGAGGATTAATCTTAGTTCAGCTTTTTATTTACTCTTATACTATTTATAATCCCTTTTCTCTTTTTTTACTGTGATTTTAAGCCTCTACTAAATAAATACATAAATCTTGAAGTAAGAAAGAAAAAAAATGGGCGTGCTTGGATATATGGCTGCCGAGAGGCTACAGATAAAAGATTGGGGGTTCATATGATGTGGAGAAAGCTAACTGCTACAGAGAGATGCATTTGATTCAGTGGTGGGATTCAGCCAGTTTGCATCACTTTGGCAGAACCAGTAGCTAATTTTTTGTTGCCCAAGCCCAGAACGGACTTCCGGAAGCGGCATCCACACAGAAAACCAGTTGTTCATACATCTGAATCCCACCACTGATTTGATTGATACCATCCATGCATTTGTGCCATTCACACATAGATTCCACCTGTATGGGGTTTTCCCATTGAGTGGCAGCATCTTTGGAGTTACAAGCTGTGCATGAATGGGCTGAAATGGGCAATATTCCAAACAAATACTAGCCAGGCACTGATTTATTGACAAATAGAAGTTATATTATATTCATTCACATTTTTCTCAGAGATCATTTGTTACTGCTGCTATATAAACAACAGCAAATTTGATTTTAATGGAAGTGATTTAAATAGAATTTACATTTTACTTCAAAAGTTTAAAATCATGGGATAAATCATGGTTTTAGGAACTGCTCAACTTTGGACGTAAGACTGAAAAATGAAGGGACAGAAGCACTAAAAGGCAAACCTATGATTACAAGCAAAGTTGCAAGCATGCTGGCTAGAAATGCATGCCATCCAATATGGAATACAGATTCACACAAGTATTCCCTTGAAAGCTCATACAGAGTAATGAGAAGTGAGCAGCTTTTTTAATTTGAACAGCTCCTTTAGAAGCAGAACAGGCTAACAGTATAGTTAAAGCTACTAAATATATATATATATATGTATACATATATATGTGCGCATACATACACATATGCATACATACGTATACACATATCTCTGCCAAGCATAGCTAAAGTATATATTTGTTTTACTGATAATACTTACCATGCTTGTTACCTGGATGTAACAACAAAAAGTTTGTTAAAATTTATCTGTATAAGTGCAATTTCTTAGCAAAATAGGCTACAGCAAATTAAAAAATAGAAGGGAGTTGCAGTTCATTCAATATTTACAGGAATGTTAAATTTTTACCTAGAACCTGATTCATCAAAAGAGGAAAAAAGGGATTTAAGAATAGTCATGTTGATAACTTTAATAAAACTGAACACCTCGTTCTGGCAACAGTGAGGTCTTCATTAGACTTAAACACTGATGGTGGAAGCTCCTGTATCAAAAATGAGATGCTGCCTATTTTAAGCTAGCTGATGGAGGGGGGGGGGAGGGATTGATGGCAGCTGCTTATAGTTGTGTTCTTCCGTCCATCCTGCACAGAACATGAAACCGAAATCTGATCAGGTATTAATGTTCCAGAAATGGCCCTGACACTTGTGGTCCCTTCTCTAAGCTGCCCTTGTAGTCAGAGAGGAGATCCTGAGAACAGCATGGCTGCAGAAGAACCAGAAAATATACTGGCAGGGATGAGAAAGTACCTATTCCAAAGGTTGACCAACCCTCTGACTGATTTTGTTACCTAAGCATTTGGATCTCTTATTATAATTTTAAATATGAAAAATAAACAGTGCTAGTTCTAAATCATGTCTTATTTTCTGTACACTTATTGTAGAATACATCACAACCAAAACCTATCTACACAAAATTTTGAGTGCCAGAGTTGAGCTATGGACATTCATCTCAGCAACTAAGCCTCCAAAGAAATAATGTTTTTATTATTATTATTATGCCCCTTTTTATATTTGTAACATAAAGCAGCACAAATACCTAATACCTCCCTCCTATTTTCCTATTTTACCAGCTGGGTTGGGCTGTGAGAGAGTGACTACTAGCCCAAAGCCACCCAGTGGCTTTCATGCCTAAGGGAGAGCTCCTAGACCAGCATTTAACCACTATACCAATTTCTATTAAAGAGATCAAAGGGATTCATAACAATTATTAATTGGGGAAGCAAGGTCAAATATGCAGATTCCTTTTCATATTTGGAAAATGTAATGGTTGGGTTCATCTGAAACACTAAGCTAACATTTTTAATCTTGGCTTACCAATAAATCACAGTTATCTGGAGTATTGACTAAACAATAATCCTATTCTGCACATAATTCTCAGACGCAGCAGGTGAGCTCCAGGTAAAAATATTAAGCCATAATATTAAGTCCTAACAAGGTTACCTGTGTGAGCAAGTAACAAAGCAACTTACTTTGCAATGTTTCATTTTCAGACTTAGTACACTGATTCAGATTCTAGAAGCCTAGCACTGCTATATCTTTATCAGTATGTAAGAGCAAAATAGTAGATTTTGTACCTTTTAAAAAAGATATATACTACCAAGTAATATTTGTTGCTATGCCTCTGCTTGTTGGCTTGCCTGCTTGATTTCTGGCATAAAGTTATCTCTAGTAGATAATGTCCTTGTTTGTTCTGGAACCAATAAGGATCACCACCCTCTCTCCTGATAATTTTTATTTATTTGGGGATATCTGCAGGACTAAACAGACCTCCCAGCTTTGAAAGTAAGGAAGAGAGAAGATTTGGCCTTCTGTCTTAATCTGCAGTTCTGGCGTAACTCCTAAGAACTGATTAAATCAGTCATTAAAATGCTATATGATGTTTGAGCAACTAGTGAAGAAGTCTACGTCCAATTAAAACTGGATGGGGAATTTAGGCAAGGAGATTAGCAGTAATTACCTAAACTGGAATTTGGCCAAGATACATGACTTAACACCCTTATTCTCCACCTCTGAGTGCACTGGGATCTTTAATGAACTCAAGTAATCAAAACCTTGACTTCTTAAGAAAACCTGCATCTATTTTTGCTGTCAGTTATGCAGCAGTTAATATGAAACAGCTTAATTAGAATAAGGTAAAAATTATGAAGTTGCTAGTGCAAATTTGAATAGAAACCTGACATGAATTATTAAACTATTAAATCATTAAATTATGAATTAATCTTCCTTAAAACCTTGGAGCAAAGTAGCATTTCCTTGGATAGCCATGAAAAGATTTTTTTTTTTGCTTTTTTTTTTTAAAAAAAATCCATAAATATTTAAGCTCTATTAAAACAATTGCTTTGACCAAAGTAATCACAATGCTTCCTAAAATAGTAAACACGGACAAATATTCTATACCCTAAATTTCCCAAAGAAAATATATCTCCAGTGAAACCACATGCAGTAGCATACTCTCCTGCACTATTCTGGTCTCTTGTCAGTTGCATCCCATTTTTCAGGAAAAAAAGGATTAAGTTTGGTCAAATGTATGAAGACTGACCTTATAAAGCAGGAGTCCAAAAAATAAAATAAAAATAAAAATTGTTGGTGGTTATGATTGCCTGCCCATTCAGACTGTTGCAATTGATCTACAGTTCTTTACTTGAGTTCAGATTCACACATAATGTGAATACCGGTAAAAACGAAGACTCAAAACAGCTGCTGTAGTTCAAAATATGCATGTAATGGACTGAAATTGAGATATGGGTTTTTCCATGTACGGATAGTCCTGGATTTACGATTACAACTGAGCTGAAAATCTCTGTTGCTAAACAACACAGTTATTGAATTTTGCCCCATTTTATGATCATTCTTGCCACAGTTGTTAAATGAATTACTGCAACTATTAAGTTAGTGTTTTTAATGAAAAGAAGGATTAGGGGTTACATGATAGCAGTGTTTCACTATCTAAGGAGCTGCCACAAAGAAGAGGGAGTCAAGCTATTCTCCAAAGCACCTGAAGGCAGGACAAGAAACAATGGATGGAAACTAACCAAAGAGAGAACCAAGAACCTGACAGTTAGAACTATTAATCAGTGGAACAACTTGCCTCCAGAAGTTGTGGGTGCTCGAACACTGGATGTTTTCAAAAAGAGATTGGACAACTGTTTGTCTAAAATGGTATAGGGTCTCCTGCTTGAGCAGGGGGGTTGACTAGAAGACTTCCAAGGTCTCTTCCAACTCTGTTATTCTGTTATTAATAACACAATTGTTAAGTGAATCTGGCTTCCCCATTGACGTAAGGTCACAAAAGGTCATAACAGGACCCTGGGATACTGCAACCATCATAAATATAAGTCAGTTGCCAAGGATCTGAATTTTGATCACATGATCTTGGCAATGAACATAAGTGTGAAAATCAGTCATAAGTCGCTTTTTCCAGTGTCTTTGTAGCTTCAAACTGTCACTAAATGAATTGTTGTAAGTCGAAGGACTACCTGTACTTATATTTGCACATGTATAGATCCTCCTATGAAACTGGGAACCTGAATACATGTGGGATTTTTCTTTTTTACTTTTTTTTAAACTTTTTATTACAAATAGCACTATTCACCAATAAATATCGTATGAATTTTAACAGTTTTGTAATTAACTGGTGATGAAATCATAATCATAATCCTTCATTATACATTGTAATAAAAGAAATTGGTGAATAAAAAACAGAAATTGGGAAGAAATTGGGATTAGAAACATTCAATTAGCAAAGGGACTGAATATTTACAAATGTGTTTGGGATCAGGAGTAAAAAAAAATTGAGAAACCACTGAAAAACAACATAATCCCCAGCTTGATAATTTGATATGTGATGTGGAATGAGAATTGTAGTTCAATGTAACCAAGTGGGAGGAAGTTGCTTTATGCAATGTATTCATACATAATATAATTAAATAATTTTTAATGAATCAGATTCCAAGGTTTCCATTGCTTTTGAAAAAAATACCAGAAAAACAAAATATGATCAGAAGTCATTCCATTTTTTTAAAACCATGGGAATATTTACTGGACGTTATATAACAAGAAACTCAATTTTTTAAAATGTAAAACTGTTCTTCTCCCTTAAAGAATTTAATAAGTCCAATCTGCCTTTAGGAAATTAATTTTGTATTCCAGTAAGATAAAAAGGATATTTAATTTTAAAATTTCAAAGCATATATTGGTGTGGGTGTATAATATTATAATAATATATATGGACGCACACAAACATATGAATTTGAAAAGTAAAAGTATGATAAAAAAGAAAAGAAAAAACAACCTGAAATTTATTAAAAATGGATTTTATATTGAAGCAGAAAATATGAGCATAATTTCCTAATAAGTAATTTCAGAAATCTTATTCCTGTTCATACATAGTATAGATTTGAATAATAGAGAAGGAAGAAGAAAAACAGGAAGAAGAAGGAGGAGAAAGAGGAGAAGGAGAAGGAGGAGAAGGAGAAGGAAAAAAAGTGCCATGAAGTACACAACTGTTCTAAACAAAAGACAGTAGAATAATTGTAGCCATGATCTCCAATTTTCTTATTATCAGAGAAGGCGGTAGAAGACACAAAAGCTGGCTATTTCAGCCAGCAATAGCCAGAGCTGAAAAAAAGAAAGCACATTCAAAAGCTGTCCCAACTTGCTGCTTAATGAGGAGCAATTAATCCATCTTATTGTATTTCAAAATGCAGAGGACTCCATTCACATCAAAGAGAATTTTTCAAGGCTTTTATTATTATTATTATTATTTCAAAAAAGAGAAGCTACATAGAGCTATCTTTGGAAAACTGACAACAGTATTTTCTTTTTACATGCAAACAGTATGGAATGCCCACTAATGGATATAAAATCATTGCATACATGTGAACTGTAGGCATGTTTTTTTTACTTCGTTTAATGAGTTCCTAATGGATACTGAAAACGAAGCAAAAATATTAATTAAATGTTACTGTAGACCAGTGCAAAATGAGGAGCTGCAGCATTTCCTAGGTGGATGAAAAGGAGCAATCCACATTTCCGAATCGATCATTGAAGATTTTATCAACTGAGTTCAAAAAGCTTTAGCCTATATTGGGCATATTTATATAGTATAGTTAAAAATCCTGGATCTGGATAATTGTTTTCTACAATAATGAAAAAAGTGCAAAGAACAGTGGCATGCTCCTAATACTCCGCAATACTTACGCCCTTTCAGTGGACTCCTTCTAGTACCTATTCACTACGTAGCTTTTGGATAACTAACCCTGTCACCTATAAAGAGAGCTGCTGTATAAACTGCAAGCTATAGAATATTCAGTTCATCTACTCAATGTATGAAAGTCAGAGGTGGGCCTGTATTTTTAATCCCACTATCAACCCCTAAACATTGACAGTTGAATTCTTATAATTCTCATAATTCAGAAACACAGATTTTGCTTTCTAATGACTGAATGTACGTAGTTATCAATACTACAATGCAGAGATGCTACGGCTGTCCTCCCTCCTCTTTTAATGCTTAAAAGTTGTTGTTTTTTATTCTCATTATTGTCTTTAAATTTTTCAATGTCTTTTAAAAATTGCTGCTGCAAATTTGCTGCTGCAAATTTGCTGCTGCAAAAAATACGTTGTCTTCCTTCACTAGATATTTCAGCCTGATGAAACTATGAGCAGTGAAGAAATCTTCCTCCAGGTAACCTGAAAGCACACCTGGGAAAATAACACCTTGCTTTGCAGCATCTGGAACATGGAATGATCCGCAAGGGCAAAGGATATTTCCACCACAGTGAACTAGCTGGGTGTACTCCTTTGAGTTGCTTCACTTTGCATGGAATTGCAGCAAGGGGACCATAGTTTCTCTGCACTTTTGAAGAGATGCTCAGAGCATCTCACTTAAGGTTTCCTCAGCTATATGAGCAGGCAATAGTTGCTCAGTAATGCAGCATTCAGGTGTGCTTAAGTGTATTATATTTAGCAGTACTAAATATAAATATAAACTATTTACATTCAATGGAAGTTGTTCATGGAACACTAGTATTGTGCAGAACATTAAGAAACACTGCAACACAAGTTATGTTATGCAAAATGTTCCAAATTGCAATAGTTGATCTGGAATTATTTACAGTCTTCAGATTAGATAGATGGCTTTTTCATCCCTCAGTAAATCACACTGAATAGATGGACAGAACTGCAAGTAGCATTGAACTCATTGGAATCTGCTACAGAGCAGAGTATGCATTTATCTTAAAATTTGCATGCTACATATAAAAGATTATCTCCTATTGCCCATTTTATCCTCTGTCCAAATCCTCCTTCATGTTTAGAAAGTTACGGTGAAAGAAAGTCTTTCATATGATGTTAATAATTCAAAAAAAATTCCATTCCTCTCCTCTTTTAATTTAGTGGACATAGTCACAAGTGAAGAATATAAAATGACCATTATTTCTTAGAGGACTCAGGTTGTACTAAAATAATATATTTTTATATTCTCCCTAAAGCACACAGAAAATAGGTTGCCTACTATCTTGCACTTAAACTATTTTTTTTAGCAAATAACAACTCTTAAAAAAGGCTTATCATAACTTTGTGACCATTTTTTTCTATCCATCTATCTTTTTAGTCTCTCCACACATATATTCTGATTTAACAGAATCATAATCTTATATTTATTTTGATGCAGGATCCAGATTTTCTCTAAACAGTTTTACTCTAGAGTATTCAGGTAACCCTACATTTCCAATTTTGTAGTACCCATAGGCTTAATGTACAAACCCATATCCAGCCCAAACTTCACATAGATCCAATCTTGAAGGCTGGATCCCATCTGATTTAGTCCTCCAACTTTTCCTTAATAAGAGGAACATTTTTTCTTTCATTTACCTCACATAAAAATGAATTTTGCACAGTTGGAGATACTCCCCACATCACTCAAAGCTCATTTTGCTGTGGCAGCCTGTCTCTTTGCACTGATGCATGTCCTACAATTGTGACAATGGCAAAAATTCTAAAAATGCAGCAAAGGATTCTTTAAAATATTCTTTAGACCGAGGGCATTCAGGACAAAGGATTCCTAAACTTTAAACAGTAGAGAGGCAACAAATAAGTACCTGCTGGGAAAGAGGACGTGTAAGCATAATTGGTATTTGTTCTGCAAAAAAAAAGGCATCTTTGCCACTACCATCACCATCACCATCGTTAACAAAAGGAAGTGCATAAGTAAGAAATAGGCACATTTTCTAAAAGGAAACTTTACTATTTTAGGTGTGGGTAAAAAACAACAGCACATCTTATGGTTTCTCCATAAAACAGAACCATGACAATGTAAATGCAAAAATTTAAGAATAGGCCATTTGCTAGGTATAACACGAACAAATTACTGAATTTATTGTCCACAAAGGAGGCTGCAGGTGCCCAGTATTAATTTAGGTGTGCGCTTAAAGTCAGTACACTCTTTTAATCGTCCAAACATGAGCTAAAACACCTTCTTTTAGTCATTAGATTGGATAGTTTTAGTCTGAAACGCTACAGCCTTCTCTATCTTTGCACCCCGGGTTAACAAGCAACATGTTTAACTTGACTTAGTTGTTCACCAAACCCAACTATCAGCCAGTTCAGCTCAAAAGCCAGCCACCAACAGCCACACAAGCCTGCCAGCATGCTGCCCGCAGCAGAGTCAAACCAGAAGCTCCTGACAGAACACTTATAAAGTGAGTCTGTGGTTGACCTTTTCCTGTTCCAGGACTGGGGCAAATCCCACTGATGGTATTTAGTATTTCAGACAATGAAGCCTTGCCCAATCTGGTGCCTTCCAAAGTTTTTGGAGTACAATTCTCATAATTCCTGTCCCAATCAGGATTATATCATTTGTAGTGTATCATAGTTGGAGCACATCAGATTTGAGAAGATTGGTACACAGTATTCATATGCTGAAATGTGTTTCTTTTGGTTGAATTGTTAAGGTATTTTGACTCTTTTTTTTTTTAAAAAAAGGAATGATTACAAAAAAGATAGAAACAAAAGGAAAAAAAACCATCCACCTAACCTGTCATTTCCCCCCTCCCCAATAGCTTTCCCATTAAAAAATATTCAGGAGCTTGCAATGCAAAATTTGCATTTCTTACATGTACAAAATGAAGCCTTGCTTGCTATGTTTGTTTGTTCTTGGAAATTAGAAAGAGAAAAAAAATGATCATCCCTCTTTCTTAATTTCAAGTGAAGCGAGGCACAGCTTCTCCAGAATATACTCTTTAAAAAACTACCAAACTGAAATTGTGCAGCCCAATCTTCGTTCTGTGTACACAAAAGCCAGTCTTACAGTGCTCTGTGGACCTTAAGTGTGTAAAAGGAGAATGCAGGATTTCCTCTGCAAAGCCCACGTTTATCAGATCTGAGCAAAAGATTTCCACATCTTCAGGGAGTGCAGATTAAGCACATGGCTAACTTTTCTAGAGAAGAAGCCAATCAGGCTTCATTTGGCCAATATAAAAAGTGTGGAGGCTAGAACGATTTGCCAAAGGTAAACTCTGGACATTGCAGATAAGGATAACATCCCTGAAGGAAAAGTGTGAATTTAGCACTCATCTGAAAATGTATCTTTAAAAACAATACAGAAGAACTGGTATACTGATTTAAATCTCAGCTTTTACGATATGTGCTTGATCTTCTTTTATTTAACCAGTGTTTCCCCCCCCCCTCCATCTTACAAACTCTTATCTACTAATGAGATTTTGAAAGCAAAAACAAAAAACAAAACAAGGACATATTTCCCTATTAAAGTTGGCATGCAAACAGTGAATAGCATTCCAAGGTGTTAAAATAGTTTAATATAGATGCTACTGCAGAAATCAGAGGGAGGGAAGGAGATTAAACACAAAGAAATGTCAACAGCTACCACATGCAAGGAAACTAGGTTACAAGAATCACAGCCCCAGGCATTCCTCCAATCACCAGGGAACACAGGAAGTATAGCATAGCAACCACAAGCCCCAAAGCAGAAAAGCGCATACCTTTAGCTTGGAATGAAAATCACGAGATTTCCTTCTGGCAAGAACCTGAATGTGACTAGACACCTGCAGGGTAGGGGAAGGGAGGGAAAACAAAGGAAAAGCCTGTAACCATGGAGATGAAAAGCCCCCTACAACTGGGCAAGCCAAACGTACCTTAATGGCAGCTTGAATTTCTCGAACTTTCTTCCTGGCTAAGACCTGTATGTGACTAGACACCTACATTGTTTGGAATTTTAAGGGGGAAAAAAAGGGGGGAACAAAGGGGAACGGGAGAGAAGAGAAATAAAAAAAAGAACACAAGAAATCAAATTTATGTCTGGAAAAAAGAAAGAAAGAAAGAAAAAACCCAGAAAGTTTCTTTGGGGAAAGTATTTTGCATTGTCAGTAAATTTTGCTATTAAGGGATCGTATTTCCCAGCCATGCACCATATTTCGTAGCACAAACATTTATCAGCGCTGGTCATCGCTGCAGTGATTTAAAGGAAGAAAAAGTTTTATACTACTACATCTTGAGCTCTTTTCTTTAAATTGTTCTGACTACAGTCTGTGCAACTGTAATCTGATGATATTCAAATTTGCAGATGCTCTTCAAAAAATAAACAAATTAAAATTTAATTATATGGAAATACTAGATATTTATATAGACACACACATACACACGAGCACAATAGTAAGCAAGCTTTATATCTTGTCCCAAAATAAATAACTTAAAGCACTTAAATGGCCCAACAGCACTTCAATTAAACATTTTTATAAACACATACTTATGTATATTCTTATTGTAGTTGTTATGACACTTAACTTACATATATATTACCAGCATGGTAATCATTCTAGCCAACTTGTATCTAACCTAATTTCATGACATTATTTCACATTACATTAAAGAAAAAAGTCTGAGTTTGGGGGAGAATGCTATTCCCCCCCCCAAAAAAAGCTGAGACAGACACTGTCATAATGGGAAATTAAAAATAATCAATATACTGCAAGACTGGTTATACTAGGAATCATTTTTTTTAATCCAAGGATTTTAATACAGATATATGAGGATTATTTAAATTACTTCACTGCAGTTTTCCTGGTTTGATCTACACTATAATATTATGAAGGGCACTACAATGTTACTAGCTACAAAGCAGAAAAGATCCAAGTAAGATTATATTCAGAATGCAAATATTTATTAATAAAAGTATGTAGTAAGAATTAAACCTCCATTAAGTCCTGTAAGGGCAGAAAAATTACCCAATTGTCTCATTTCTTCTTTCTCTCTCTTTAAAGCAGTTGTCTCACAAATCTACCTGGCTGTCTCCAGGTAGATATTACATCATGCAAATATTAAGATCTGTTCATTTATAACTGACAATTAATTATTATGTCTGACACATCATCAAAATTACTAAATTTTACATTCACTCTGCACCTATAGGTTACAAATAAGATCATTGGTTTGATGTTCAGATTTTCTGCATTTCTTGTTTTCCATTAAGTATGTGTCAACTATTATTATGTTGGGTTTTGTCATTAGTACAATCGAAAGTGTAGTGTCAAAAATGATCCTGTAGTGAGAACTGAAGTAAAATTTAAGAATTATTAAATTACCTGAGTGGCAATAAATATATGACTGAGGTTTTAATTTTTTATCTATACTTTATTTGTATTTGATTTATAATAATAATAATAATAATAATAATAATAATAATAATGATAATGATAATAATAATAAAGTTAGAAGGGACCTTGGAGGTCATCTAGTCCAACCTCCTGCTCAGGCAGGAAACCCTATACCATTTCAGACAAATAGCTGTCCAGTCTCTTTTTAAAAACTTCCAGTGTTAGAGCATTCACCGCTTCTGGAGGCAGGTTGTTCTACTGGTTAAATGTTCTAACTGTTAGGAAGTTTCTCCTTAATTCTAGGTTGCTTCTCTCCTTGATTAGTTTCCATCCATTGCCTCTTGTCCTGCCTTCAGGCACTTTGGAGAATAGCTTGACTCTCTTCTTTGTGGCAGCCCCTGAGATATTGGAACACTGCTATCGTAACTCCCCTCGTCCTTCTCTTCATTAAACTAGACATACCCAATTCCAGCAACCATTCCTTACATGTTTTAGCCTCCAGTCCCCTAATAATCTTTGTTGCTCTTCTCTGTACTCTTTCTAGAGTCTCAATATCTTTTTTACATTGTGATGACCAGAACTGGATGCAGTATTCCAAGTGTGGTCTTACCAAGGCATTGTAAAGTGGTATTAATACTTCACATGATCTTGATTCTATCCCTCTATTAATGCAGCCTAACACTGTGTTGGTTTTTTGGGGCAGCTGCAGCATACTGCTGGCTCATATCTAAGTGATAGATCCACTAGGACTCTGAGATCCCTCTCACAGTTGCTACTAATGAGCAAGGTACTACCTATACTATACCTGTACATTTGGTTTTTCTTGCCTAAATGTAGAACCTTACTTTTTTCATCATTGAATTTCATTTTGTTAGATAGAGCCCAGTGTTCAAGTCTGTCCAGATCCTCCTGTATCTTAAGCCTATCTTCTGGAGTGTTGGCTATTCCTGCCAGCTTGGTGTTGTCTGCTAATTTGATCTATCTATCCTCTCATCCAAATTATTGATGAAGATGTTGAAGAGCACTAGGCCTAGAACAGAGCCCTGAGGCACCTCACTACACACTTCCCTCCATGTAGATGCAGTTCCATTGAGGACCACACGCTGAGTACGGCTGGTCAGCCAGCTACAAATCCATCTGGTGGTGATGCTGTCTAACTTACATTTTTCTATACAAATTAAATGTTCAAATTGGTTGCTATTTTTTTAAACAATTCCTTACTCTTTGATACATGGCTTTTAAACTTCCTAACTACAGAAACATTTTCTTTGGAAAAAAAATAAAAAGTTAATAAAATATACCGTGACAGGCCTATGACCTTTTTGATTTTTGATACACCTTATATTTGGAAAGAATTCTAAACTAGGTGGATCAGTAACCCTGCTCAGCTTCAAAATTCTTCACTTCAAAACTGACCTTGACATCTGTGCCTTTACCTTGATTCAGAAACACCCTAATTCAGACATTAGAGAATCTAAAATCTTAGAATCAAAGGGAGCAATTTAGGTCATCAAGGCCAACCTCCTGCTCCATGCTGGTTCCCAAATTAAACCATCCATAATTTAAGATTTTCTAGCCTCCAAATGAGCTCATGTAGCAAGAGGATATAGGATTATTAAAGATTTTTACCCTTAATATTAAGCTAGAATCGACCTTTTTGTCATTTAATCCATTACTGTATGACTTGATCTGAGATTTACAGAGAGCGTATCTGAGTCTTCTGTGCAACATTCTTAGGTACTTGAAAAGTGTAATTATGCAACTACATACTTTCAAAGTACAATTTCAGGAGTAGGTAATCCACAGCTGGTTCATTTTATTTTCTTGCTAGTAGCCCTCTAAAATTTAGGTACGGTACATTTGGAGAGAGAAAAAGAACTGTAACCTGTAACTAAGTTCACCAATTGAGATTGGTAGTCCAAGTTAGAATTTGGAAATTCATTTCAAAGCTATTGAATCACATTAAGCTAGGAATCACATTAAGGCATCATTAGTTTTCCTACGTCTCGTTAGCTGGATGTTAGAAATAAACTCAATAAAACAAATGGATTACCTCTTATAATCCTTTTGGGAAATATGTGTGGAAAAATACTGTAAATAAATAAAATATTTCTGCAATATTATTTTTGAATAGTCAAAAGAACTTAATGGGAATTAAAATGCTGCCATAAAGTAATTTTAGAAATTACAGTATATCTACTTTTAATTGCAATTTAGAGCTCAGCTTTAAGAGTGACTGTAATTTAATTTCTCTCCATGGAAAAAAAATGCCAGAAAAAAATATTTAATGCAGATGACTATGAATCAGTGACATTAGGCCATTTCCCTGTTTCTCTTTTTTTGGCTGAACTGTCATTAGTTTTATGGTACCATAAACAATACATGTAAAGTATTTTGCAATTCAACCAAGACATGCATTCAGGATTTCTGTATATTTAATTTTCTCTGTGAATGTTCAATGCCATTTTGTTCCAAAGACAGAAGGCCTACAACACACATACAAACACACACACCTTTCATTGTCTTGCATGTGGAACAAAAAAAAAAAAAAGGGGGGGGGGTCTTTCTTAAAACAAAAGTCTCAATTTATTTCTGGAGAAGACCCACATGGGAAGCAAATTTATCAGATGGCCATACATACTTCTGTTGCTCCCAGTGGGACTGGAAGGTAACATCTGAAATGAGAATTTAATTGTTGAGTCTTTAGTGCTCTGGGAGTTTGATTATTTGCTTGCAGAGTTTTCATTACCTAACTAGGTAACACCATTGGTTTGAGTTGCCTGTTTATATATAGTAGCTTACTCTGATAGTGTTAGTAGAGGTAGACTTTCCTCCTTGGTGGTTCTTTGAATATTGTTTTCTACCTAATTGTTCTCTGGTGCTGACCCCTGCTTATTTGCATGTTGGCTGCTGGAAGGGATGTGTTCTAGTTTTTTGTTTCTTTTTTGTTTTGGTATTTTTTTAATTACCTCTTGAATGGTATATAAATGTGGTTTATTTGTGTATATATATATTGATGGCTGATTTGTCTGAATGCCAAAGTTCCAGGAATCCCTTAGCATTTTTTAAGTTAGATTGGTCTAGAATGATAATAATTTCCCAGTTGAAACTGTGGTTGATTCTGTTCATGTGTTGTAAGGTTAATGAGTTTTCATCATGTCTTCTGAAAGATAGTTGGTGTTCATGGATGCACTCTGCTAGTCTTCTACCTGTTTGTACTATATGGTCGCTGTTGTATATTGTAGATAATTCCTGTTTTCTTTTCTTGGACTACTTTTGGTTTGCTTAAGAGGTTTTGGAGGACTTTAATTGGTTTTTGTGTTATAGTAATATCATGTTGTTATAGCAGTCTGTTGGTTGTTTCTGAGATGTTTTTAATAAACAGGCAAAAAACAATACTCTAATCAACAAACTACCAAAAAGAAAACTATATCCACTGCAAAACTGGCAGGACAAGCAGTAGCATGTAAACAGGTAGCAAACCCCACACTCATTGACACAGATAGTATTATTAGCTGAGTAATGAAGTATTTGCAAGCAACTGAACAATGAACATGAACAATTGTCCTGTAATGTTATCTACCTGGACTTTGCATGAATTTATTTGCATGAATTTATTTTATCATAAAAATATAAATATGTCTGATAATTATACAGGCTTGAAGTGATCACAGAGCAATATTCAAGAAAATAGATAATTTTAAAAAAAGAAAAGAAATTCCTACGTCATAAGTCTCCTATTCAAACATTATATTTTGGACATTTAATCATCATATGAGCAATGGGGATAAACTTTCACCAGCCTTTTCCCTTCCAAAGGCTGGAGATATATAGCCAGAGAAGGCACTTATGCCACAGCAAGGTCATCTGCATCAAAAAGGTGTTTGTCTATAGAACTATATGGGTATTTTCTTTCATAAGATCCAATTACCCAGACAGATGGTAGACTCCTCTTCACTGAATGAATTCAAGGAGTTTAGACAACCATCTGTCCAGGATCCTCTAATTTGGATTCCTACACTGAACAGGAGGTTGGACTCAATAGCTTAAAAGCCCCATTCCAGCTCTGTAATTTGACAAGCTCAAATCCTGATCGCATAGATTTTGAATTCATCTGGAATCCAGGATCCATCCACTTTTTTTCTAGATGTCACTGGCAACATGGGTCATCCTTGGCACTCAGGTGAAGGAGATAAGTGCTCTATATGCAATGCCATAATAGGGCTACGATCAATTGGATATTCTTTGTCAGCCAGAGATAATTTTCTTTATGACCATCTGGACTGCTCCCACCTGACTGGGTTTTTTTTTTTTTTTTTTGCAAAATAGCTAAAAACCTGATTGTTTCCACAGAAACAATTGGGTAAGGAGGATGGTTGAGTTTCTTTGGATTTTGGTATATTTTGATTATTTAATGATATGTGATTGGTCTTCTGGACAGTTTTATTGTTTTTGTTTGATATATATATATTCTTTTTTACAATAATTGTAAAACTGTAAAATTTTAATTGTAAGCTTGTGGAGTCAAGCACAAATTAAATTAAAAGAACAAAAATTTCATTTATTTTTAACTTTTTCTAACTTTAACTAGTATGTCATTTCTGTCACCAGTTTGCTCAGTTCTTCTTTCAAAATATGTTTAAACATATTTCTATTCCTCGAGAAAATGCTTAATATATCAGTAAGGTTCTTTAATAGATCTTAGAGGATCCTTTGTATAAATTTGAGTGGCTACTTGCTAATCATGGGATAAACTTCCTTATTTTCTTATTTTGTCCTTAGACAAAATCTTGTAGCTCTTTCTATTTGAAATGTTTCAGAAAAAGAATTTGGCCTATTCAACTTAAAGCCTTACATTGAGCAGATTATTGTCCCAAAGAAAACAAGCATTTTACTAATTATTCATATAGTTTTGCTAATTTTGAACCATTCTCTTTCTTTTTCTCTTAAATATCACGTGAACTCTGATTCCAATTAATAAATATATCTTACTTTTTAAATCTGATTCTGTGCCTTGAAGTTTCTCAATACTACTATTACTGGATCCATTCGCTTGAAGTCCAAATATTTATGTAGGTCTTCAACAAGTTCTAGCTAATGCATTGTGTCAAAAGGAAGAACTAAGTTATGTGGTTCTGTAAAAAGTTTTTACAAGTGCTAATTCTTTTGAGATGAGAACAATAAGGTGGGAACAAGCCAGGAGTCTAAGAAAACACAGATCCATCATGCCAACTCAGCAAAGTATTTATTGTGAAACTAATAGATTAAGAGTTCCAGACTGTTTTACAGATCTATAGGAGTTTTAATCCTGCAAGTGTACTGTGTGCCTAAGTAATTTATATGGAAGTGGTGAATGGTACAAACAGCACTATTTTTCAAAGCAAACCCAAGATTTTGTAAACACCATTCTGTGTCTGCTGCATTCACTCATTCATTGGCACACACCTTCTATTCTACAGGATTGTCTTACCTGTTTCCTGGTCCGTGTCTTTCCCGTCCTAAGTTTGATGTATCTGGCTATCAGTTCATTCCTACCTGAAATGAATATGAAATTACAATGAAGACTAAAAGTAACAATTCATCATTAATATATACACATCAAAACATAACTTAAAATAGATGCAATGAAAAGATGGTTCAAGGATATTTTTGAAAATAAAGGTTTGAGTAAACTTTTTTTTTCATAATGGCATTTCCCCATCTTTTAAACTCCTTTGTTATTAGTCGATGGGAGAATCCAATAAGTGAATGCCTATGTATCATTGGATTTTTACCCTTGTTTTTGTCCAAAAATTGTACTTCAGCTAAAATAGTTCTGGCATATGGGAAATTATTTTAATTTTAAACTATTACACAGATAGCTTTTGTTTAATGACCACTCGTTCAGCAACCATTTAAACTTACAACAGGACTGAACGAGTGATAGTTAGGACTGGTCCTCAGAGTTCTAACTGTTGCACTGCCCCTGTGGTCCTGTGATTATAATCCAAGCCCTTGGTGCCCAGTTCATGATTATAGTATTGAGCGAGTAGCAGTTGCATGATCACACATTTTGTACATTCCCTTCTAGTTTCCCACAAACAAAGTCAAAAGGGAAGTCGCAATCACATGAGGTCCTCACTTAACAACTCACGTGGTCCTTGTTTAACTATGGCAACTGGGTTTACCAGACCTGTCATTGCTAAGAGGCATGGTTACATGACATCACGGTTTAAGGCCGCATCACTTAGCAATAGCAACTCTGGTCCCAATTGCCATTAGAAACCGAGGACTACCTATATTAAAAAGAGAACAATTGCAGACAAAAAGCTGGAAAAAAATTCAGACAAAAGCTGTTACAAAGTGAACAAAATTCTGTCACTAAGCATAATCTGATTATTGAAAATACAATATATATACAATATATAACACTTTATTTATTTTCATGCCTTTGAGTCAGCGTTGACTCCTGGCAACTGCCTGACCACTCTCTTCCAAGTTTTTTTTTTTTAAACAAGATTTCAGAAGTGGTTTGTCAGTCCCTCCTTCCTAGGGCTGAGATAGTGACTGGCCCAAGGTCACCAAGCTGGCTTTGGGTCCAATATGGGACTAAAATTCGGGGTCTCCTGGTTTCTAGCAAACTGGCTCTCTACATTTAAATTTAGCTTACAATTAATATTAAATCACATTTTTGGCTTGGCTCTGACCATGTGTTCTAGGATGTAAAAGAGGTTATATAGCCTGTTAACAAAGGGCTAGATAGTAGTTTATGCTGGCATGTGGTTCTCAGTAAGAGAATTCTGAAAACATTTGACTCCAATCAAGATTAGCAGGAAAGGTTACTGCAAGACTTACATTTTACTGCAGATTCAATTATCCACAGTAAATCAAGTTAACAAGGAGACAAACAGCAAACTTTCAGGCCATATCATTGGTTTAACTTCACTTCTTTGTCTTTCCATCAGAAGGATGTTTTAGTATATACAGGAAGTACTTGACTTACAACATTCATTCAGCAACCATTTGAAGTTACAGCAACAATAAAAAGTGACTTACAACCAGTATTCACACTTACAATTGTTGCAGCAACCCCACAGTCATGTATCAAAATTCAGGCACTTGGCAACTGGCATGTATTTACAATGGTTGCTGCACCCCAGGCTCATGTGACCGCCATTTGCCACCATCCCAGCCAGCTTCCAACAAGCAAAGTTAATGGGGGAAAACTGGATTCACTTAATGACCTCAGTCATTCACTTAACAACCCTGGCAGAAAAAGTCATAAAGTTGGAAGCAACTCACTTAACAACTGCCTTGCTTAGTAACAGAAATTCTGGTCCCGATCATGATCATAAGTTGAGCACTACTTGTAGAGGCCCATCTCCCAGCTCTTCCCAATCGAGTGTTTCTTAAATTTCTTCCCCTCAGGACTCCTTCTTTCTTCTAAAATTTATTTTCATATATTCCAGCATCACAGAAGATTCCAATTCACGTTTTGAGGCGTATATTTTGGGCATCTTATTCACATTTAGGGTTTTTCTTTTCACAGTTGCTTTCTGTTCATGAAGTTGAAATTTTATAATATTATTTTCAATTAAATCAAGCTACTGCTATTGCCGTTCCAAGTGAACTTTTATCTCTCACAATTTTAATTTTTAAATAGTATGGATTTTATCAGAATTCTTTTGAAGTGCTTTGGAGCTACATAATTTTATCTTTGAACCCTAACTCTAGCAGTTTGCAGATTTTTAGTGTGCATCCCAATAGTGTTTGGACTGGTGGTGTTTAAGAGATGCTTCTCAGTGGCATCATTCGAAAAGTTATTTTAAGATAACCAATTAGATTAGAGTACAGCATTCAAAAATTTCAGCATCTCAGTCGAAGAGGATTGAACTGTGTAACATCAGAGAAGCAAAAAAAAGAAAAATACTCCCCTTCAAGCATTTATGTGTGTATATTGCAAAAAAAAAAAAAAAAATACTCCCCTTCAAGCATTTATGTGTGTATATTGAGTTGCCACGATGGGGAGGACTACATTTTAAATCCAAATTAGCAAAAAAGAAATCACTGCAGACAGGTCAACAACGGTTCAAACAGTTTCCTCTGCTAGGTGAGAGACTTGTTATTTAAAAGCCGTGAGCAAAATCTATTTTATGCCTTCAAAAATAGTACAGCATGGGCAGGTGTTAAGCCTTCCCTACAGTGAGTTTTGAAAGTCGTCCCCTTTCTGAGCCTTACGGAAAAGCAGGGACTAAAAGCCTGCGAGATTGGGCAGCCCTTCCCAGCACAGGCTGTGTTTTGTTCAGACAAGCTTACGGCAGAAGGTCATGTGACACAGGCCAAATAAACAGCATCTGGGGATTTTCAATTACAGACCTTCACCCAGCATGCCTGCACTGTAATCTCTACCAGATGAGGCTCAGGCCTCACTATTTTCAATAATTCACACACTGTGTACACATAACATGACAATAAGGGCATTCATGCAACCGCCTGATTCGCACATCAAAGCTCCCAAATGGCCAGCTGTAAGCATGCTTACTGTTGAATAATTCATTCTTTTCACAGGCTTGAAAAAACGCTCAGCAGGACTTGGCAAGCTTGTCTTCTTTCCTGTGCGGTATGCTAAACTCACATTTTGAAAGAGGTACAACCCCATTCTTTTTTTAAAAAAAAAGAAGAGGAAGAAGAAAAAGGAACTGGATATTCAAAAATGTCATGCACATTTGCAAATGGTTGTGTCTGAACATATGACAACTCTATGTATGTATGTGTGTATATTATAAAGTACAATTTCAACTAACAACCATAGTAATAAGAGAAAGAAAGCAGATACAAAACAACACTGCTTTCTGAGGCAGGTGTTTAAAGAAAAGCTTTTTCCTGAAGGGTTTTCTCCTGTATAAATGAACGTGTACCAAAAATAAAAAAAATAAAAACAAAATAAAAACAAAACAAATACTGCATTTCCTGGAGCCAAACAATTTTCACGCTGGAGAAAATTAATTTTGATATATCCATTTATTTTGTTCTATAGCTCTACCTTTAAATAAATACCTCTATTATCCAGGAAGGCAATCACCAAACCATTCCCTTGAAGCCAACCTTCAAAGGACTAGATTGATCATTTCATTTTCCTCCTTTGCGCTTTATCAGAAGACTTTTACGGGCTTTTTAAAAAAATTGCGCAGCTATAATTTTAATTGCCAGACAGCATCCTAAACATGTTTACTGAATTATGACAACTGTTTCCCTGAGCTACCAAAGCAGGCAATCCCTTACTTCATTATATCAAGTTTTCCTATTTGTCAATCAACCCTAAAACCAGCAGGATCAGCTAGTCACGACCTCCCCTCATAGCAAACACATGCTGCTTACCAGCTGTGCGTTGTGTATTTTTACACCCTTTTCCCTATCGTTCAGAGTGGTTTCTTCTTAATCACAATAATCCCAAAAGTGCTAAAACATATCAATTGTCTTCTAAGCCCTGCCTATAAAAGGCAAATGGGCTTGTCCAGCCACAGCTGATGCTTCATTCAACTGCAAATCGGATTTAGTAGCTACAAGAGATTTAGCATACCTGGAGAAATACTGAGGGGTCACTCTTGAATAGTTAAATTCACTATATCTTTCTGCCATACTGTTTGGTCTTTGGAGGAGGGGGGTTGTATTTTAATTTTTATTTGCATTCCTTAGTTGAACTGGGAGGAAGCAGGTTTCTTTTACCACCACTGGTCCGATAGTCAAATATATGTTTAATATAACAGTTTAACAGTTAGAACAATGGAACAGTGGAACAACCTGCCTCCAGAAGTAGTGAATGCTCCAACACTGGAAGTTTTTAAGAAGAGACTTGGGCAGCCATTTGTCTGAAATGGTATAGGGTTTCCTGCCTGAAGAGGGGGTTGGACTAGATGACCTCCAAAGTCTCTTCCAACTTTATTATTGTTGTTGTTGTTGTTGTCGTCAGGTTTTGCATTCTGGCAGCACTCATAAAAAAGTAATGTTAAGTAACAACTATAGTGGTTTTTTTTTAACATTATACCAGAATGTTTTCATTTACTGTCCACTTAAGTCATGAAAATTTAATTAGTTACTACTTGAAAGGTTATTTAATAGGATACCATGTAAGCTGATGCAAATGATATGTATTCTCACTGTCCTTTTTGAAAACCGTATACTATTTGGAATAAAAACCGTATTAATAGAACAGTTTCGTAACCCTTGGCTTTTTCACTTTTTGTGCTCTACCCCTCAAGACAAAATTTCTTGAAAACCATAAATAAAGGAACTTATCATAGAACAGATTTAGAACTCACTTATTCCCAAATTCATGGTGTTTGGCCTCCTTGTTACCTTCTGGGAGGAGGCTCTGTGGTATCCAAAGCAGAACATCCAGATTCAGTCACAGTTTTGTTCCATACAGTATTAACCTTGTGAACTCTCAAGCTTCCTATTTCCGCTATGTACTCAAGATGGACAGTGATTAATATTTATATGTAAGGGTGTAGATCAGCAGTTCTCAACCTGTAGGTCGGGACCCCATTTCACGGGGG